AATAAATGCAAATATATATGATCAAAGTTGGAATGGAATTCTGTTGACGGCATCATGCGGCTTGAATTTGCGGGGAATATTTTAAGAGAAATCACGAAAATGTTCGTACGAAAGGTTTGTGAAGATTCATCGACTTCCAGTCAAAGATGTTCGAAGTATGTATTCAGGAAAAAACTAGAAAGGTTTTCGTGATTAGCCTGTATAGCAATTAACCTTCATAAATTTCGCTGGCGACAAATGAAATGGTCGACGATTTGGTTGAAGGTATCATATAACTTCTGAGTCATAACATCTAGCAATTAAATCTAAATTTTCTGGCCTTCCTGGGGATTTCATTTTAGTTGTATTCATAGCTTTTGATGATTATGAAGTACCCCACTTATAGCGAAAATAATAATCTAGAAATTTACAAAGTTCAACTAACAAAGATATTTTAGAAAACAACTTACTGCTTGTTTGTGGAAACCGATGCATAACCCCTTTCATGAATTAAGCGAAATTTTACGATAATAATACACGCAAAAAATTAACTTATGTGCATAAAATATACCTTGTAGAATTATCATATCCAAAAAAAGGGATCGTATATTTAATTTAATAAAATTCTATCTCGTATTTCAGCCAGTTATTTGAGGAATAGCTTTTAAAACTTGATCAAACCTCGTTTAGTTCAACTTTGTTCAATTCAGGATCATTTCAATCAGTGAAATTTGGCGGCATGCCTCAAATTGGACACAGATGCATCAAATTGAAATATATGCAAATATATATGATCGAAGTTGGAAAGGAATTTTGTTGACGGCTTTGAACTTGCGGGGAATATATTAAGAGAAATCACGAAAATGTTCGTACGAAAGGTTTGTGAAGATTTTTTCACAATGCAATGGTCTTATGTAATTCAGTATAGTATTTTTTAAAATAAATATTGGAACAAAAAGGAAGCAATTTTTCGACAAAAAAAGCGGCAAAAGACGAAAAATCCACGTGTGTAATTTTTTTTTTGGTAGATGGATATTACTTAATTTAAATAAATGAAAACAAGGTTTTTTGAAGTGGTCGAAATATTCTGACTTCGAAGATGAATTGTAGCAGACCCGGAAGCCATGGTTCTCGGTTCAACCCCAGACGAAAACCCGAACCAAACTGCAACCCTCTCCACAAACTTGCGAGAATGCGCCGTATGTAAATTCTGCTTCGACTCCGAGGACAAAACCCCCAGAATCTATTGCCTGCAAAGGGGAAGTCCCGGAATTCGTTTGCCACGAATCCAAAATCTCCAATTCTCTGTGACTCCGATGCAAACTACAAAGAGCCCATCATCAAAGGAACGCGTTTCTACCAGCTCTTTGAAAACTTTGCTAGCTGCTTACGACAGAGCCCGACCAATTAAACCCAGCCATGAAAGCGAAGACAGCTTGAACCTGTCGGGTACCTTTGGGTTTTCAGTGTCGGACCGACGGAAAGGCGGTCATGTCGTCGACACGTCTGTGGACGAATCCACGACATCGTCACCGTCGTCGACATCATCGTCCTCGGCATACATGAAATCCACACGTCGTGCCAGCGGCGATTCCAGGCCTAAGAGATACGTCACGGTTCCTCTCGAACTTTTGAACGACGATCATGCTGTCGATTTGTTACGGGATTCGCTGAAAGTGCATAAATCTTTGGCGGGGAAAACGAGGACTCGTCAGCGACGATCCAAGAGACCCGGTCATCGACACGAGCACAAACTCGTCACTGAGAAGATCATTTGTGATTCCGAACGAGATGGGTTAGAGCACATAATTGTCAAGACAAGGGTGAGTTTAACAGTTATTTTTTCAACTTTTTACAAGATAAATTTAAATACTTCCCACTTGCTTTTCAAAACGTACCCTTCAAGCATTTTCTCGGCCAAGAAACTAAAGAAATGCATGAGTAAAATGTTTCATTACTCTTTTACTCTTGAACGAGAATAATTTGAAGTGGTGTAGAGCAATAAGGAATATCGTATATATGCTTCAAACGTCTGATATTTAATAAAAAAAAAGCTTCACCTTCAAGCATTTTGCGGAGAACAGCTTTCAAACGACCTCGTAAATAAGCCCAAATTCAATTTATAAATATAAAATTTTTACAGGAAGACATGGATGCTGCAGATATTTTGCGGCATGTGGAATGGAAAAGCTCTTTGTCTTCGCCGAAACTTGAGAATTGGGCAAAGATTTCTGGAAAACAGCCGTTAATTCAAGAGAGAATGTTGGAGCATAAGCCATCTGATATATTGGCACTCATGACAACTCCAGCAAATGAATTCAGCGCACTTGCAAAACGGGAAATCCGTAACAACGTTGACTTGTTCCCTTCGACCAAGAAAAGGTGGTTCATCTTGATTTTGAATCCAGAGATAAAAATATTTTTCTTGTTTCCCCAAGGTTTAAAAATCGAAATGGCCATTTCAACTTTAACGATATGAGAAAGAAGACTACGGGAAAAAACTATTTCAGGAATCAATTAATGCTGCTTTCTTTGTATTCCACTCGAGAATTTTTATTCATAGCTCTTAAATAGCAGCTGACGTAAGATTATACGATTAGTGACTTAATGTTGGATTGTGTCGGGGATTATTTGAAGAGGAATATAATTATTCCGAGGAATTTATGGGAGTTTCAATGGAATTAAAAAGAAAGGAAACATGATTTCATTTCTAAAGGAACAGGTCATATTCGCTGTATCTGCGAAATAAATTCTTATTTGAAAGACGCAGCAATATCGCATTGAAAATGGGAACTTTTTTTTTTTTCAAAAATGTGCTGGTAAACTAAAACAGGCACAAATCGATGAACATCCAATCGGAAAAAGGACACAGAAAAGCCAGAACCAAATCCAGCCCATCCAAGCAGCAAATCGACTACCACGACATCTGGCTGCTCCACGAAATCAAGAAAATTTTGAAAGATTTCCTCATGAAATCTTCGATTACGAGCAATCAGAAATACCTCAGTCGTGATACATCACCTGCGATTCCCATCGCCACAGAAAATTTCACTAGTCATGTTTATGACAGCGAAGGTGCTCCTGTGGCCGAAGATCCGAAAATGGCTGCAATAATTACAAGGCCGTTTGAACATAGTCCAACAAAGATGTCACCGGGAGTTTCACGGTCTTCGAAAGGTATCGAATTTTTAAATCTGTTTCAAGAAATCTGGAAGGTTTTGCAGAAAAATTATTCTCATCATTGAAAGCATACTCGATTTTCGAAATTTTTGCCAAATTTTTTATTGTTTGCTTTGATTTAAATTCATTAATTTCAATT